ATTTCTTCTAACTAGTTTCTGTAATTATATGTAGTATTAGATTATGATCAAAATCAATGTCGGATTCTAAAAAACCCCATATTGTTTTAATGCAACAAAAAAATCCCATATTGTTTTAATGCAACAGCACTGAGGGCACTTCAAACAACTCTGCAGATGTCACAGTTGGAGTATTATGTGTTCAGAAGTGTGAATTTCTGATCTCAAGTAATGTCTTCTTCACGGCTTATTGAATTTTCTTTTTGACTTATTAGTATGTGCAGATGACCTTATTTCTGATGTGGGTGTACACCTTTAGCATTTGGACCTTCTGCTTGTTTGCACTTTGATAAATGGATCCTCTGTAAAAAGGACTCGTTGCAATTAATGAAATGCTTGTACTCTGCGTCTGTGTACAAGGTTGAGTGATTGGGAGTCATTACTGGAAGTGCTAGAAGAGGAAACAGCAATATGGGAATCTATGTTCTGAGAGTATACAGTGCTCTGAGAATCTATAGAAAATAAACAACTTTGAATAAAAGCTACACAATGCACAAGAACTGCACAGAGTAGGTACAAATACATTTTAACCAGCAGATGGTATTCAGTCACAGTGGCAAGCTCAGTAGGCCATGATTTTTTGTTTATCTATTGTTGAACAAAGACCCAAAAGTTTTTGAACTTTAGTAAGAGATCATCCATTCAAAATGATGGTTGCACCAACTCCAGACAATGAATAACAGAGTGTGTTGTTGTGCACTGACAAGGTAAACTTAGAAACATTGCATTGATGGGCAGCTGTTGCTTTCCAGCAAATAGTATATTACTCCCAAGAGATGAAGACAGTAATTTGACCACATATATATTCAGTGTGCTCCATCAGATCTGCTCTGGAGAAGTCCTCTTTTCTGCAGGTGATGAATGTTCTTTTTGGAGCAGTTGTGGGACAGATCCCTTGCACTTTGTCATACACTTTGCCACGAGCACAGTTATCCTCAGGTTGTGCCTTAAGAAATGAAGTCTTACCACATTTGTTAAATGAAATCCGTAAAGTCACTTTACCTCTCTTTGCCTGAAACAGAATTACCCCCTCTGGAGGTGCTGAAAAATTCATTTTAGCATCCTCAGAGCAAAATAGGAAGAGCCAAGGGGGAGCAGTATATACTAGAATATTTATTATTGTCCTTGCCAAAAAACCTAAAGCATGATCTTTCTGGACTCTCTTACTGGTTGAGGAGAACTGAATTTATGGGCCTTAGTCACTTGTTTGTTTTGGAAGGGTATCTGAATACATATATATCTATGTATCAGAACAGAGTCCAGGACACCAATTATGGAATTTAAATCCCATAATGAATCACAAGTTGAGGATATGATTCAATATCTTAAATTGCATTATCAGATTTGTGACTCATGGTCAATGACACCAAGTCTGGCAGTGTTCTGAATGATGCCTTCAGGAACAACAGTGTTTGATCATTTTTCTTATGGTTGTGAGGTTAAGGTGCTACGCACTCAGGTCACAGTGCTATGTTATTGCAGTACAACCAGCATGTTGCAAAGAATGGTTTGTATTTCAAAAGCAATTGCAAAGAGCTATTCTCCCTAACTTTCACTGGCTGTTCCAAACTGCAGCATAATTTCAAAGTGAGATACCCTCAAAATACTGAATGTTATATTGCATATATACATCGTTGCATGTAAGAGTAAAAATGCTTTTTATACCCCTCTGACTCCTCATAGAGTACATAGCAGCTGAGGAGCAGCAGTAGTTAGAGCTCTCTTAGCCTTTGTAGCAGCATCTTGGCCTATACCCCTTCTTGCAAGACTCTCTTATATCCCTAATGTGCTTCAATGCTGTGTGACTGGCAGGAACAACAATACTGGCCAAATGATGTTTCAGATCTACATTTTACAGCTAGCAATGACTGCATTGGCAGCAAGGCACTGGGGATTCAGGCTTCTTAAAGCAAAGACTTTTTTAACAAGAAAAGCAAATAAAAGTAAGAAAAATAGCAATTTTAAGCAAGAAGATTAAGGAATAATCAGTTCTCACTGTAGTTACTCACAATACACACTGGAGGAACCTCAGGCTAAGAGGAAGAAAGTAAGTAAGTGAACTGATTATTCATGATATAGCCAAATTAAATAAGTCTTTGGTTTACCTTCACAGTCCTGTTGCCAATTTGAGAGGAATTATGCTATGCCCAGTGGTATCAAAGGCTGTGCTGACATCCAACCAACAGCAAATACTCATTCCCTAGTTCTGGTTGTCTGTATAGTTATCTTTACAACACTAGCCACAGGAATGATTCATAACTTTCTCTAAGGACTACTCTACACTGAAACTATAAACAATGCTGTAAGTCAAGCACTGAGGAAAATGTCTGTGAAAGAGTATAAACAGAAAGAAATCATAAGCAGCCTCTTTCTCATGAAGCTTGTCCACAGATGCTGACAGACACAGGATCATACAAGTGGCTTTGTTGCAAGAAAGCTTCTGAAATCTTCAGGTTACAATCTGGATAACATCCTTAAGTGAAGACAATGAGCTTCTAAACCTCCTGTGATTCATACAGTGAGTAGTGCCACCTACATCTAATCTGTGTCTGGCTGAACTGCCAAAACATCAAAGTATATGAAGAAATCAACCTACTGAATTTAAAGTGGGTGTCTTGCTTTGAGAGCAAGTAAGTTCTTAGGACAAACATTCCAAGCTGGGAGAAGCCTAGGATGACTAGAAGCATAGAGTTGCTAATCATAGTGAAAGCTAAACCAGATCCTCATTGCTGACTCCTTTTAAATACTAAAAGACACAAAGTTAGTTCCTGTAGCAGCAGTGGATGCAAGCTGGGAAATTCTCCACTTCATAATCTATTTTTTCAGTAGAAAGTCTGTTCTTTCAAGATGGAGCAGACCTGGGTCCTGAGCCAGCAAAGCAGTAACACACCTCATCATACCTGGATGGTAGTTCCAATGTGCTTTCTGATTACTTAGCTGTGAGTTTTTATAACAAGTATCCTTGTGCTTTGCTTGCATATAGCCGACGTAGCTCAACGAAGTGACAAAGCCATAACATCATCTTTCTTCAAATCCTTCCCTAAAGCTCTGCTTCCTTACTAGAGGTTTGATGGCTTGCCAATGCACTAGGGCTGTTGCTATCAATGCTGATCAAATATTGGCCCATGATTTCTATGTGATTCTCCAGCTGCATGGACACGTGTTATCTCTGAGACTGTAAATGCAGCATGGCAGGAGCTCCCACTTTCTGTTCACAGCCAAGAAAATAAAATCTTTGCCCAGGAAACAGCTCCCAGGCTTAACAGTAACAAAACAAGTAGTGTTCATGTAGTGACATTAAGAACATAATGAGCAGCCCTGGAAGATCTGGACGAGACTGATCAACATCCTGCAGGATAAATCTTTTTTTTAGACAAGCGTGTAAATTTTATCTATGCCTCAAGCTAGCAGGAAGCAGACCAGGTTGGATACAATAGGTAATTAAGCTATATAAGGTTTGTTTTTTTTTTTTATGTTAGAAACTGTTCTTATTTATTTCTGCTGTGTTGTAAACTTCTTACCAATGTTCAGGTAACACAGTTTCTGTGTCTTGGGCATGTTACAGTCTTAGTGTAAAAGGAGGAAGTTTAGCCTCATTATCTTACAAAATGGCTTTGTTATTCCAGGCTGGGTAAAACTTTTTAAAACCCAAACAAGTAGTGCTGTGTGCTCAGTGCTTTCTCTGCTGTGAAGTAGTGCTCATTTTTCAGAGGCAGACAGAACAGATGGGGTTGGTGATGTGTTGACTAGAATACACACAGTGAAACCTGTGCATCTGTCAGGAGAGGAATATATTGGTTTTGCACAGACAATCATTTTGCATTTACACAGATTTAAGACTTTGATTTGGGCTCTTGTCTAGGAACAAGCACTTCAGTCATAGTAACCTATTACTATGTATGGGTTATTGTAGGACTGAAATATTTCTTTTATTAAAAAAAAAACCTCAACCTTTTGCTATTTAAACCAGGAGTAATGGTGAAAATGTATTCCTCGGGACTCTTACATTCCAGCTTTGTTACGTGGGGCTTGTTCAATATGTATTCTCCCATTCTTAAAATGAGCTGCCAATATATCACATGTCTTTACTTAAATAGTTCTAACAGTACACCTATTTATCTTCTCTTCAGCATAACAGCAATTAAAAAAAACAACACCCAAACACTGTATGATAAAATTAATTCTACCACATCACTGGTAATTTGTGTTAGTGTTTACCCAGTTCATTCCAAGAAAGAAAAAAAATGTCCATGTTTGTTTTCTTTTGAGGAAAGGTAAAAAGAGTATTTAAAACCCACAGTGTCACTAGGCAAGGGAGCAAGGATATTCTCTCATCTCCACCTAAATATCAAGTCTCTGACAGTAAGGCCTCACACAGGAATCGCACTTGTATTTCTCTGCTGACTTTTCCATCACTTCTAGATTTTACCACTGATATGCAAAACCACCTTTTCAATGTATTTTCAATCTGAAGAGCTTAAAGCTGTTCTGTAGCATGTTATTCACCCTTACACAAGTATCCCTCATGGGTCGTTTCTCACATTAAGATATACAATATAAAAAAGAAACACAAAACAGAGAAGCACAAGAACACCAAGAGTTTTATTCCCACAGACTTTGCAGTTTTTCTAATTATTGTCCCAACCTGCCCCCAGGGAGCCCCATGGAACATGATGCATCTATCGCTGTTGCTCTTTTGACCTCCAACACTGATCTGTTGCCCAATAAAATATCTCTCAAAGGATAGCATGATGTCACAGCTGGTTTAGAACCTGAAAAAAACAGCTCTTTGCATAAACAGGCTCCTTTTAAGAAATGTAGCCAATGATATGTATTTTTTTATGGTATTATCTGCTAGCCAATGACCTCCACTTTGTGCAAAGTACAGAGTCATTAACACAAGTGAACAATGTCATATAATGTAATATCCCCCTCTCAACCACATTTTATATATACTTGACAGAGTAGATTAAGTATAATAATTTATAAAGAATGACTGTAATACAAAAAATATTATTTTCTTTTGTAGCTTCTCTTTTCTTCTCTGTGTCATGGATCTGCTCCCTCCTACTGCAATAGAAAGGATGGGGTTTTCTAAGCAGACTATGGCAGTGAAGTGTCCAAAAGCCACTGACATTCAATAGTAGCTAAATCCTTAATGTCTTTGAAAATTCTCAGCCAAAACCTATTAGTGCATACCTCAAAGAGATAATATCCACAAATCTAAGAGTTATTTTTCTTTCAGGCATTCATTCTCATTTCTAACAGGCTCTTCTTCCACAGATGCTAACCTCCTGTTAGGGTAAAACCCCAAATTGCTTCCATGTCATTTGTAATTCAGAACGCAGCTTTAGCTTCACTCTTTTGAGGCGTTTGTTTTTATATTTATATAGATCAGTGTCTAAAAAAGACAAACTGGAACTCTTTAATATTGCTTTTTCATCTTTGTCTTGTCTCACCATTCATTATGCCTCTTAAAATGAGCACGAGTTCATCTAGATATGTTGACTCCTTCCTGTGAAGAGTTAATTGACATGTTGTATCTCTTGCTTAAGCTCACATCTCATATTTTGACAAAAAATAATTCACCCCCACTAGTCTAGCATCCCACTTTGTCAGTCTTTCATTCTAAAACACAGTGCTACATTATTTGTAGCACGTAGCTTGTGGTTTGTCATGTTTTTTACTTCAGTCACTTATACTAGTTTTTATCCCTCCCACCCAATCATAGCATGAGGACTTCATTGATTAAATAAATCAAGTACAAAAATTGTGATCTGACATGCATTTTTGCGATTAACTATTCAAATAACCCACCAGAAGGCAGGGTTTAATTGTATTCACAGCCAAATGGTGCTGTAGCATCAAAACCTTACTAAGAATCTCCTACGCTATATTGACACCTTGTGGCTGGCTCATCATAATGCAAAGTATTCATTCAGAGTAGTGTAAATAAGAGGGATTATAATATAAAGCCTGTGGGGAAAATATTTTCATTTTAAGTACTCACAGTGGATGGAAGCCTGATAAAGAGTGTGTAGATCAAAATCCATTTTAACTTTTAGCCTGATCTCAGTCCAGATTCAAATATATATGTCCTTCAGTGCTGAACATAGGGCCAAGAGCTATACATTTCCCACTTTCACTAAAATTCAGATCTCTGTGGAATCCAGCCTTAAATAGTGTGCCCTGAGCTTACCTCAGTTTGCAGCATTTCCAGGTGATACGCTGTACTTCATCCTCCCCACTAAATATAGTGGGATAAAGAAGGAACAGCTTTTGTTTCAATGGCACCATCTGCAATAATAGAATGAGATTCAAGTTATATTTGCAGAAGGAAATGAAAACTTTGAAGTATGCCTGTGAAATAATAGTCTGAAAAGGTCAGACGGAATGAAGATGCTACATGCGAGCAGTATTTTTACTGCCTAGCCGATGAAGAGCAAATGGCACAATACAGGAAGCCTTTTTTTAAACAGGCAGATAGGCTGTGATATAAACCCGAAAGAGCTCATTTTCTCAATATGTAATCATTGTGTTTGAAACCACTTTCATGCAATCACCCTGAGCAACACATAACTACCATGAATTTACGAAGGAAAGGAACTGCTGAGAGGTTAATAGAGGGGAAGAATTTGGAAAGGATTCAGCTTAATCAGTTACAAACAGTGCTCTGGCCAGCAGTCAGTGAATCGCTGAGCAACATGTAATGGTTTCCCAGAAAGACTTTGGTATTTTCCTTCACAAAGCTGGAGATTCCTTGTATCAATCACATGAAACTCTGAAGTTAATTATTTCAGTGAAGAATGGTACTTGAATCATGACTTTGGTCTCCTGTGCTCAAATACTGTCCCACAAATTAAGTTATACAGTTTTTGGGAAAGAAAGAACTGGGCATCAGAGAGTCCCACCTTTCTCCTGCTCGTTTTCAGTTTGGGTTAAGAGGAGGAGGTTGCTTGTTGGCCCTGCTGCCCACCTGCAGAGGAGTTAGTGTGAGCCACTGCTGGAGATGGCATTCACACCAGGAGCAGGGGTCCGCAGTGACCTCAGGCAAATCTTGAATGGCTTTGTCATACTGGATTGTTTTTGTATCTGAAGGAGCTGGGAAGGAAGAGAGCAGGATTGTAATACAGAGTGATGTCTCTCAAGTTCAGAAGAGGAGACTTGACAGTACCTCCACAGTCCTCCACAAGTATAACACTATCATGAGAGACTGGCCCCAAGATCTGGCAAAATCAAGGATGTGAAATGGTGGAGGATGGCAGGAAGGACTGACTGGATCTGCACCCTGTGCAGTTCTATCTCCATCCAGAACCGCACAACAGTTGTTTTGAGGCCTAGACAGTTTAAGAGTTATTATTTTCCTTTGTCTGTTCATTCATTGAGAAAAATTTGTGGTCCCTGATGGTCCTTTGACTACATGGGAGTTTCTAGTGATACAACTCTACCTGGAAGCAAGTAGGAACTGAGTGATGCGTGGCTCTGCCCATGACAGAGCTTCCAGCAAGCCCAAGTCCTGATGAGGAAGCCCTGTCCCTCACAGTAGGTTTCAGCCAAATGACCTCAGCATGATGACAGCCATTAACATTAAACAACCTGCAAAATTTTATTAGTTCAAAGTTTGGTAGAGTTAAATGTTAATTCTTTGAAAAGAATTACAATAATTATTCATTGTCATGGAACAAGATGCAATTAAAGAAATTCCTCTAAAAATAACTCACTGATACATATTTTTTGTTCTAAACTGGCTTTTTTTAAAGATTCCTTAGCTGAAAATTAATTTACTGACCACATAACAGTAGCTCAATGCCATAATAAGTATTCTCAGTATTGCCATGAAAGGAATTGCTAGAGAAGACACCAGTCTTTGAGGAGAAGTATAAAGGCAGCATGTCTTAAACGTAAACTGAAACCTTGTGTCATTACTGATGGAAGTAAATTGATTGTGAATTTCCCTCAGCTCTCCATAGATACTTATTCTCATTATTCAGAAAATGAAAAAGCAGCTCTGTGAAATCGCATAACTTTTCTCTCTGAGTCAAAAGAGAACTGGGTTTTGAAGGAAGGTGGAAAAGATATGGAAAACATTCATGGGAAGTCCAGCATCCTGAAGTACAGCAAAATGAGCTGCCCTTCAAAGCTTGTGTGAGACCACATCTCAGCAGCAGGATGGCTTTCTACGCTCCTATAGGAGTAATGTATACAACCAGATACCGTGCAGATCAGTCCAGAACTGTGGCCATTCCACATGTTCTTTGCATTAAAGAGGCTTTATGTCTTAGCAAGCTCTTCAATACCCAGAATTCAGCTTGCAACATACACAGCCCTCTTCACTATAGTACACCATACCCAATAGCCAGTTTGCAGAAATGCGTTGTATTTTGGAGACTGAGATTCACTAATACACGAGCTATTCTATGCCTGTTGTCCCCAGTGACGATGAAATTTCCCAAGGATTCTAAGTTTTAAATTTACTAAACCAGAATGACCAAGAAACACACTCTAGACCACACAGAAAGTCTGCGGTATAGGAGATAATTGAAACAGGTATCAAAGTAATGCTCTTAACATTACACAAGTTTCCTTTCTTTCTTATTCTTCTCTTCCTCTTTCAGTCTAATGAAGACCTATAAAATCTCTTCCCTCTCTTTTAAATCCCCAAACTCTTACCCTTTGGGATCCTGCCCAGACCCTTTCCTGTCTACCACATATTCTCACATCTCCTCTACTCTACAGATAGATAACTACAGGAGTGAGAACAGCGGCTCTCTGGGTGACAGCCATCAACCCATCTCTCTGCTCTGTGGTTTACATAGCTTTTGCAATGAATACATACTGACTCACGAAAATGATAACAGATGTGAGAAAACTACAGCTTCACCACCTGTTGCTAATGTAATTCATTTAATTACTGGCAGACAGCTTGAATTATTTTGAGGTCTGTTACAAAAGGAAGATTTTCCCCCTGTGTGGGGAGACCCTTGTCAAGAAAGTTGTGCTTCCATAGAGGTAAATAGCTAAGGGGACAGCCATGTGCAGTGAAACCCTCTGGCTCATTACAGACTCCTCCCTGCCAGGAATTTCCCCTTGCAACATTCTTTGATGTGTTAATTATTTCTTTGCCTAATTGACCTGACTAACTTATCTCAGATATATATTTTAAAACTGTCCACAAACTGACCATAATTTCGGCTGCTGCTTTTCCCACCATGCTGACATTCACCCCTGTACTAAGCAGTGCTTTTGCCACCATCATTCACACCAAAGGGCAACAAAACTCAAGCCATACTCACTCGAGGTACTCATTGCAACCTTGAGAGATATCTGTGAATGTATCCTGCATGGACACTTTTTTATTCTAAGTATAGCCTTGTTCAGCGAAAGTATTTCTACACAACATCTATATAGATATCTGAAAATTTTTGTTTCGATACCAAGAAATGTGAGACAATGAATTTGACTGAGCACTAGTGTGTTTGAGCTAGATTATATCCTCAGTATGTGCTTCAGGCAAGGAGAGTGGGAATTAATATTCTTGTTTTCAGCAGGATGTCTGCTGGGTGGCCATTAAGCTCAAGAGGTTAAACTGAGCATCTTTATTAGGTATTGACCTGGTAGTATTCAGACGGAGAAGGCAGAGGGCAAGCAGGAAGAGGAAGAGTCTTGTGATATCCACTCTATTTACTGGCAAGAGAGCTTGATCTAAGATGTGGAACTGTTTATAAAAATTTTTGACAGAGTCCTTAGTTATTTGCACCAACTGAAGACATAAGTGTGGACCCTACTCATGGGAAAGAAAGCAAAGGCCCTTTTCTTGCTTACGGTTCCTCTCTGTTTAGAAAAAAGTAAAAGGCAAGCCCTGTGCCCACAGGAAACCTCTGCTTTCGTCATGTCATAATAAGAAAGCTTCAAGGAGGCATCTAGTAAAAGCACATAGCAGCCAATGTGGGACACACAACAGTAGATGTATTTCTCACACTGTGGAATACCACCGCATAAATAATTGGCTCAAAAGACACTATAGATACACTGTTAATTTGGAAGAGCAGTCAATGACAGAAACCTGTAACCCTAGAGACAATGAGTAAGCAAAACAGAGAATCAGTTAAAAGGCAGAACTAGTGGCCTTATCTTGGCAAGCAACTAAAGCAGGTGCCGCAGATTCCCTTTGAATGCAGTGGGATAACTTATATGTTGAACCACAACACATATGGTGTTGAATTGTTGCCAATTAAGAGCTGGAAGAAAGAGAAAATAAAACCAAATGGAAGAACAGGAACAGGAAGGTATAACGTAAAGAAGTTGTGACCTTTCTCCCATGTTTCTCTCACTTCTAGTCTTCAATCCCAATTTTCTGTATAGAGTGGTGTATTTAATTGTCATTGCCATCCTTGTCAGCTGCGTTTGGAATGTCATTTGTGCCACTGTTATCAACATTGCCTCATCGACTGCAGCATGCAGCTCAGCTTTTGCTGGTCTTTTTTCTAGTCAGCTCTTGCCAGTCCCTGTTTTTGTTATTACAGGGCCATTATTAGTTGTTTTCTGTAGTAAAAACAAGTAAAGAAACAAACAAAAAAATCCCCAAACACACACACAACCCAGGACAAAAAAAAAAAAAAAAAGAGAAAGAAAAATGGAAAGAAATCTATAAGAAAAACAAGGCCTCTATAAATTCAGCTATCTGCTCTTCAGGAAGCTATCCAGTCCTCCTGAAAAGAGGCATCAAGATTGCTTAGGAATAGGGAATAGAAATATGGCATACCACCTACCTGCCAGATGGCTCTTTTTGAGTTATTTCCTAGATAAGTACAATAATTGCAGGGAAGCATCTTTTGTGGCTCTCTGCCCCCTTGCAATGTCTAGCTTAGCACAAGGGGAAAGCTTCAGCTTCTGTGTTTCAGCTGTTGGCATCTCTTCTATGGGGAGTTAAAATGCAACAATTTATAATTTTGTTTTACCTAGTATTATCTTCAGCTAACATTATTTTTAAAATATTATTTTTAGTACTGTAAAGACAGATTTAGGAATGGCTGCCATCGGTCCAGACATAACAATAAAAAAAGTTTCGCTAATGTTATAGAACAAAAGTTAATACTCCTTATGAAAGAGATTTAGGTTATTAAAAGTCTAATTTCCCTAAGAAAGGATGTATCACAGTACAAGATTATAATGGGAGGACCTGCACACACCTGTAAGTACATGTGTGTGTTTAAAAATATTTATAACTCAATTCAAGTGAAATAATGTAATTTTGATGTCACAGTTACAGCCTGCTTCTTGACTTTTTTTTTTTTCCT